GGGGAGGAGAGGGATGAGCTGAGCAGCTTGGCAGAGCTGCTGCTTGCTGGTCTCTAGCCACCAGTATCTGTCCAGTTCTCTGTGGAGGGTGTTGGGAAGAGCAATGGCTGTGGGTGGGTGCCAAAGGCACTAATTGCCCTCCATGCTGAGAAGGAGACACCAAGGTCTGACACCAAGGCAGGGGATGGTGGATTCCCACAGAGGGTACCAAGGCCCCTGCAGCCAGAAGAATTGATACCTGCATTAGAAATCAGTGGTGAGTTTTGCAGGAACAGAATATTCAGGATGTTTTGCTGTGGAACAAGGTATTCTGTGCCTCTATGTGAAGGTAACTCTGACTGGTTTTGGAGCTGGATTACTATCCATGTCAGAAACTCTCTCTAAAATGCCCAAATGACTGAGTCATGTAGAAAAGGAGATCAGCTGCAGCTGGTCATGGTGGGTTCTCCTGGCTTTAACCATTTGACCTACATTTCTGTTGGGTTCAGACAGGAATACCTCACTCTCCAGGATACCATTTGCTCAGAAGCAAGAGGAAAGGCAGCAGAGGGAACTCAGTAAGGCGTGGAGATAATGGCTATGTGATATTTGTTTAATGAGGCTCCTTGGAGGTTTGTGTCCCTTCTTGGTAAAGGCCATAAACCCCCAGGCATGGTCTGAAGATGTGGGATGTGACCTGGCAGCAATTTGTCCTTGCCACAATGGGATTGTGAAAACCTTCATTCCTTAGACACCAGTGATCTTGCTGCTGGCTTTAGGGTGGGATTGAAGCTGAGATACACCCTGTGCTCAGGCACCACAACTATGAGACCTTTGACTTGATTCTTTTAGCTGGAGCCTTTCTCTTTGACCTCGACTTCTCGGTTCACCCACTAGCACCAAAGATTTGTGACTCTCATTCTTTCTCTCTTTGTCAGGAGGTGAAGATCTTCCGTGCCTTAATCCTAGGGGAGCTGGAGAGGGGCCAGAGCCAGTTCCAAGCTCTCTGCTTTGTCACAAGGCTCCACCGCAACGAGATCATCCCCAGCGAGTCCATGGCAAAGCTGAGGCAGGTGAGAGGCTCCATCCTCCTGTCCAGCCAGGGTTTATTGGAGCTATCCTGCCTGGATACCCTTCCCAGGCAGCTCCCTGACTGTTCAGCTCTTAGACCCACCCTTGACCATCCCTCCTGGCTGAGGGATTCAGTGTTAAACTAAGCATATCACTGGTATTGATCCTGTCCTGCTAATATAGTAGAGGTGTGATTTAGTTTTATCTGTGTCAAGGGTGAGTGTCCATGAAAATCCCTGTCCCGTGTTTCCCAGTGAGGTCAGTACTGATCTGGGACCATTCATCATACAAAATATTGAGAAACCATCTCAGGCAGTGGTAAATATCATCACTTTCAGCATCAATAAGTGTTTGAAGCCCCTTCCATGCTGGGACACAGGTGCATTTACAGAGGGACAGTGTTCACAGCCAGGTTGGATGAAACCTTGAGCAACCTGCTCTGGTTTGAGGTGTCCCTGCCCAGGGCAGGAGGTTGGGGTTGGATGACCTCTAAGCTCCATCCCAACCCCTTAGCAATCTCTGAAACATCCCTTTGCATGTCTGATGTTGGCATGGGATCGCACCATGCCATAAAGAATGATTTCTTTGCACCCAGGATTCAAGTTTGGATTGTTTCTTTGCAGAAAAACCCCAGGACAGTGAGACAGGCTGAGGAGGTTCGAGGTCTGGAGCATCTCAGCATGGATGTAGCTGTCAACTTCAGCAAAGGAGCCCAGCTCAGCTCCCACATCCACAATGTCTGTGCAGAGGCCAAAGAAGCAATTTATACCCGAGAAGAAGATGTCAAATTTTGGCTGGAGAAAGGTAAGTTTCCTTCAGTTTCCTTGGAACTGTTCCTGGCAGGGAGTTGGCACAGTGCTCTATGGCTCCTGCCAGGTTTCTGGTGATCAGCAGGGATTGTTTGGCTTCTCTTTTGCTGTCTTTAAGGCCCATGTACCACACTGTACTACCCTGTGTGTTAGCATATCTGACTCCTGGGATGCATTAAGTGTTGCCAGCAGCTCAGGGAGGTGATCCTGCCCTTCTGCTCAGCTCTGAGGCCACATCTGGAGTATTGTGTCCAGGTCTGGGCTCCTCAGGACCAGAGGGATATGGAGCTCCTGGAGCAGCTCCAGAGTGCTGTGTCCAGTTCTGGCTCCTCAGGACCAGAGGGATATGGAGCTCCTGGAGCAGCTCCAGAGTGCTGTGTCCAGTTCTGGCTCCTCAGGACCAGAGGGATATGGAGCTCCTGGAGCATGGAATCCTGGGATGCATTGGGAAGAGCATTGCCAGCAGGTCAGGGAGGTGATCCTGCCTCTCTGCTCAGCCCTGGTGAGGCCACACCTGGAGGATTGTGTCCAGTTCTGGGCTCCTCAGAACCAGAGGGACATGGAGCTCCTGGAGCAGCTCCAGAGGAGGGTGACAAAGATGCTGCAGGGACTGGAGCACCTCACTTAGAGGAAAGGCTGAGGGAGTTAGGGCTGTTCAACCTTGAGAAGAGACAACACATTAGTGTATAAAAGTATCTGAAGGAGGTGCCAAGAGGATGATCAGGCTCTGTTCAGTGCTGCAAACCCATGCAACAAGAGGCAATGGGCAGAAACTGGTGCACAGGGAGTCCCACCTGAATAGGAGGAAGAATTTCCCTGTGCAGTCACTGAGAACAGGAACAGATTGCCCAGAGAGGTCATAGATGAGTCTGGGATATCTCCTCACTGGAGATATCCAAGACTCCTCTGGACACACCATGTGCTGGGGCAGATAACCACTGCTAACCAGGTAACAGCTAAGCAGCTAACCCTTCCAGGCTGTGTGATGGTGTGATTGAGGGCTGTCCCTCTGTCTCCCCAGGGGTGGATGGCTCCATGTTCGAGGTGCTGCCGCAGACGTCGGACCTGCCAGACCTGCAGCGCTGCCGGCTGTGCCTGGACCGCTGGAAGCCTTGTATCTGCAGCTACTCCCTGAGCATAGAGTGGTACCCCTGCATGCTCAAGTACTGCAAGAGTCGTGATGCTGGGGGCAAAGTGTCCTCCTACAAGTGTGGCATCCGCAGCTGCCAGAAGGGTTACACCTTCGATTACTATGTGCCGCAGAAGCAGCTCTGTCTCTGGGATGAGGAGACTTAGCAGAGCCAAATCACATCTTTCCAGGGGCAGCTCAGCTCCTGCCACGTTTCTCATGCTAAGGGCCTCCTGGAGCTGGCTGCTCCAAAGAAGGAATGCTGTTCACAGTGGTGCCTTGTACCAGGAGAGCTCTCTGTGCCTTTCCTTCTGGTCTCCTGTGCCTCCCTCCCCACCTGATGCTGCCTCATACTGTGAGAAGCAGGCTCAGCTCACTGTGTGATGATGATCTCCTGCCAGGAGAGCAGGTTTTTGGGGTGAAGCACTGGGAGGGGGGGAGTGTGTTGCCCTGATGTGGAGGGGACAGCTCTGATCAGTTGCCAGCCTCGAGCATCCTCATGAGTGGTCAGGGCAGGGAGAGAAATGATCTTGCTGACCTGGTTGTCAAATATCTCTGCCACTGAAGAACCTCCTTTGCTGACTTCACCACCTCCTGGTGACACAGCTGCATTTCCCAATGGGAAAGCAGCTGATTTCTGGGACCACAAGCCCTGAAGAAGGAAGGTGTGAAACCCTCCCAAAGCAGGAGCCTGCCTGTAGCTTTCCCTAGTGCCCAACTGGCTGTTGTATCCTTCCCATGGTTAGAAGATATAACAGGGGGATAAATCCCAGCAATGACTTGTGCCCCTAAAGGGCTATTAATTAGGGCTCTAATTAATCCCTGTTTAGACTAGTGAAGGCCCAACTTTTTGTGTTGGTCTTGTGTGACTCTTCCACTGAGAAAGAAACATCTGGAGACTTGTGCCTCCCATCCTAACACTGTGTTGGCAAGGGGAGAGGATGATCCCAGGTGGGTTTGTACTGTTGGGAAGAAGACAACATTCTACAGCTCCATCCAGTTTTATGTCCTATTCTGCCTATTCACAAGAAGCTCTTAAATAACTGTACTGCTTTGCTGTGCCTTGGTTTCCCCCACATGTAAAACAGGGATGATGCTGAAAGTGACCTTGGCCATGGTATGAACCTGGAGGGATTAGATAAGAAGCACTGCAGGAGTGTTGTCTGGTCCCTGTGTCCTTTTCCACTCGAGTTAGACCAAGCAGGGAGGGGAGAGAAGCTGTTGGGGTCTCTGAGAGCTCCTGTGCCTCCTGGTGAAAAGCCTTCACAATGTGCCTTTTTGCCTAAAATCCAGGAATTTTTGACAAGAAGAATTTGGTTACAATTATTTTTGTATTGATCACTTAAGTGGGGAGAAGGGAAAGGTATTTTAATATTGGGACATGAAGTAAAACACACTTGAAATGATTTTTTTTAAAAAAAATTATTTATCATTTGTAAGGTAAAATAAAGTGATTTTTTTTAAAGCATCCTTAGCTTCCCAAGTTCCTCTGTGCATCATAAGCTGCATGTGATTCAGTTTGGGTTCCTGATTAAGTGTTTTTCCCCTTATGGGGAAGTCTCAAACTTGTGTCTAGGTCATTGCAGACTCATGGATTGGGGGAGAAGATGCTGCTATCAGTGTGACCAGGAATTTCTGACCTTTAGCAATGTGATCCTGCATCTCAAACATCACGAGAAGACAGGTTTGCCTTGTCTCAAACCATGGAAACTTCAAGCCTGAGCTCTGGTGGAGACAAAGAGCAGCAGTAGAAGCAGGTCCTGGACTGGTGCCTGCTCCTGTCTCCAAGTGATGGAGGTGTCCCAGGGCCAGGCTGGAGGTTTGTCTGGGTCCAGCAGCCTCAATAAGTTATTCCTTGCCCATTCCTCTGCGGCTCTGCCTGAGAGGAGTTGAGGGAGGCAATTTGGGGCCAGCTCAGAGCTCTTAGTGGCTGCTGGAGGGAGAAATGTGGAGCACTGATTCCCTCTAGCGTGGAGAATGAAGGGATGAGACAAGGACTTCAACCTCAGCCCTTTACTTCACCCACCAAGGCAACTTAGCCTTTCCTGTGCTTTCTGGGCAAGGTGAAATGAGTTCTCTTTTCACTGACATGGTCAGCACTGACAGGGATTTGTGCTCTGCTGTCTCAGCTCCTGCTGCAGCAGGACACTGTGAGATTTTGTCCCTGTTGCCAGGATCAAAGCAGCTGTGATGTGAGCAGGGTGGGAGAGGATTGGGGGGAGCCCTGTGTGCCCCATTCCCACTGCTGCCTCCTGCCCAGGGATGCAGGGAGGGATGCAGGGATGGACATGAGCTCATCCTGGGAGCATCGGGTCAGACCCCAGCGAGCCTGGACGGGCTGGTTTTGTATCAGAGAGGCTCTGGGGTACCTGGAGCTGTGCAGGTTCCTCGGTATCCACCAGTGGGTGCTGGCGGAGCACGGCTGTGCCCGGCGGAGGGGAGAGGTATCCGGGCAGAGCAGGGACAGGGATGCTCGTGGTCCAGCCGAGCATCTCAGTCCCCCCAGGATCGCGCTCTCCCCACCCCTGCTAGAAGAGAACTCCAGCTCATCTCCCTTTCCAAAGAGAAGTCCTTCTTGATGAGCTGAAATAACTCCCTGGAAAAAGCAGCTGGTGCAGGTGGAGACAGGAGACTTCCCTGGCACAGAGAAGCCTCAGTTGGCAAGGAGCACTTGGGGGATTTTGTAACGTCTCTCTGGTTTGTTCTTCCAGGGCCTGTCCAAAGGCCACAGCCCATAAATCAAGTGCTATCTGTAGAGCTTATCTTCCTCCAATAAAGGAATCAACACTGGCAGCAGGAGTGGAGGAACACAGTGCCTGTACTGAGGATGAGAGCAGGTGGATCATTCACTGCTGGACGTGGAAAAGCAGAGCAGAGTCTCTGCTGGCACCCGGGAGTGATCATCTCAGGATGGGCTTCAAGCAAATCTGCCTTTGCCTGGTGATCTGATTTCCACAGCAGAGAGAACTGATGATGCTCTGATTCATCCCCTACTGTTAATAAGGAGGGTGCATTCTCTCTCACCTGCACAGCACATCACCAGAGCCAAGGGCACAGCTTGTTTGGGGAGAAAAGCACCTACCTATCAAATTTTTCCTGCTGTTTCACGGACCACAAAAGTAAGACAGAAAAAAAAATCATTCCCAGCTGTGTTTGGGGCCAGGAGAGGGCACTGGTACCCTGTCCGTGGCTGGGACAGCATCCCTGCCCATAGGATGCTCAGGATTCCTGTCCAGATGCAGATCTGCCTCCCTGGAGCTCCAGGACAGGATGCTCAGCTCTGGAGCAAGGGGAAAGCACCAGAAAAAGCAGAGAGGAAAACCTGGCGTGAAGAGAAACGCTCGGTGGGTGTACAAGAGGCTCTCTGATGCGGGGGAAGGAGAGCTGTCGTGGTCCTCAGCCTTTCTAGCTGGCTGGAAGCCACCAGCAAATCGATGTGTGATGATGCAGTGTGACACCTTATCGCGTCAGTCTGCAGCAAGGGGAAAACCCAGGCGTGGGGTCAGACTGAAAACACTAGAGAACAGAGGAGCAGCTGCCCAGGAAAGCCCCAGGGCTCAGGGCCTGAATGGCTGGGGTTGGGTGGCAGAAGTCCAGCAGCTCCAGACGAGCTGCCTGTGCCAACCACCTCGTGTCACCTCTCTGCTTCCTGGAGCAGAGCTGAGACAGCCTGCAGAAATCTCCCCTGGCCTGCAGATCAGTCTGACCCAGGAACTTCCCCCCCTCCCATCTCTTCCCTGCACTTTTTCCTGGTCAGAGTTCCCTTGAACTCCTCCACCCTCTGCCCCCAGCACGTTGTGCTCTGCGGGGATGTCCACACACACCGAGAGCAGCTCCAGCCCAGTAACTCCGGCCCGGCTTGGAGGTGAGGCTGGAGATCCTGCCCGCCCACCCATCCCTTGGGAGAAACCTGTCTTTCCAGGGAGGGAGAGCAGCATGTGGGAAAGCCGAGAGCCCTGGAACGAGAATTAGCCGGGGAGAGATGAATGTGTGATAGCTTGTACCTGGCAGCTCCCAATTGAGTGTTAACGCTTTCAGGAGGGGGTTGGAGCTCAAGGAGTGTCACATGGATGTCCTCCTGCCCTGGGGGTTATCAGGGTGGTACATGGCAGGGGTAGGTTGTAGCTGCAGTGTCTGGGACCATCAGGGTGACTCTTGGTCTTTGTCACAGCACAGAGTGTAAGGTGAAGCTCTGGTCTCTGGCAGTTTCCTACAAAAGAAGCCAAGACTAGGGGATTTTTGTCCCTGGCTTCCCTGGAAGTTGGTAAATCCTGCAGCTTTAAATGACATGGAGAAGGAGGAACAGGCTGTGAGCCACCTACCATACAGAGCACAGATCAGGAAAGAGGAATCTCCATGTGCTGATCCTAACCCTGACTTGTCTTTAACCAAATCAGGTTAACTTTCTGCTCTTAACTTTCCTATTTGTGTGATTGTTTCATGAGGCATCACTCAGGTTGGGTCCAGACCAAGGGGATGCAGAGCTGACAGCACAGGCTGCTCTCATGGCTCTCCCTGAATACACCTGGGGGTTATCACAGTGGTCAAAATGAAGTGAAAGTTGCTTGCTGGAGGGGCTGTTCCCACAGCTCCAACCCCTTCCTTCAGGAAAAGACCTCTAAGATGCACATCCAGGGAATAAACAGAGCACACCTCTGCAAACAGCTTATGGCAAGGGAACCCCAAAATTGTATACACTGAACTGCCTTTGCACCAGGGTGAAAAAAATACCTTCCCACCTGTGCTGGCCTCCTGCAAAAAGACTGACTGCTTAAAACTTCAGCCCTACTCACCCACAGCACAGTGGGATGATTG